AGAGGCAGCCTCTCTCTCGCTCTCTCGGACTTTATTTCAAAATGGTGAAGCTGACAGAGGACATGGTGGTGGCGAGGTCCAAAGGATCGGACCTGCATAACGTGAGGAAGTTAAATTGCTGGTGAGTAAGGCGTGCAAGGGCGTAAAACGAGAGAAAAACGGGTTAAAAGACACAGCTGTCTGGACCGATCCTCTCGCCTCCTCGCAGGAACGGAATATATTTGTTATTTTTATTGTTTTGTTTTTATTGTTGTTGATTGTGCTGTTGTTGTCGTCTTTGTTGTGGTTGGCCTTGTGATTATTGTGCTGTTATTAGTTATTACTGTTATCGCTATTATTATTATTATTATTGTTATTATCATTATTATTATTATCATTATTATTATTATTATTATTATTATTATTATTATTATTATTATTATTATTATTATTATTATTATTATTATTATTATTATAATTATTATAATTATAATTAATATTATTATTGTTATTATCATTATTGTTGTTATTATTGTTATCTTTATGATTTTTATTGTTATTATTCTTTTACTATTATCACTATTTTAATTACTTATTTGATTATTATTACTATCATTATTATTACTATTCCTATTATTATTATTATTATTATTATTATTATTATTATTATTATTATTATTATTATTATTATTATTATTATTATTATTATTATTATCATTATTATTATTATTATTACTATTATTATTATTACTATTATTATTATTATTATTGTTGTTGTTATTATTGTTATTATTTTATTTTTATTTTTATCAATACTAATAATAATACTGATATCATTATTGTTGTTTTGTTACGGTTATTATTATTATAATATATGTTATTATTAGTAGTAGTATTAGTAGTATTACTATTAATATTAGTATTAGTATTTTTATTATTTTTGTAATTATAAATATAATTATTTTCATACTATTGTTACTGCATTTTACTGTATGATCATTTGTGTTGGTTTCTACATGGTTTTTTATCCTAATTATGTAAGTGATTTTCACTAAGTTATGGTTAACCTGATTGTTTAAGAGGCACAAATTGCTCATGGACGGGGCACTTGCCTACGAGAGAGAGAGAGAGTGAGAGAGTGAGAGAGTGAGAGAGTGAGAGAGTGGGAGAGTGGGAGAGTGGGAGAGTGGGAGAGTGGGAGAGTGGGAGAGTGGGAGAGTGGGAGAGTGGGAGAGTGGGAGAGAGTGGGAGAGTGGGAGAGTGGGAGAGTGGGAGAGTGGGAGAGTGGGAGAGTGGGAGAGTGAGAGAGTGAGAGAGTGAGAGAGTGAGAGAGTGAGAGAGTGAGAGAGTGAGAGAGTGAGAGAGTGAGAGAGTGAGAGAGTGAGAGAGTGAGAGAGTGAGAGAGTGAGAGAGAGAGAGAGAGAGAGAGAGAGAGAGAGAGAGAGAGAGAGAGAGAGAGAGAGAGAGAGAGAGAGAGAGAGAGAGAGAGATGCAAAAATTGTCAAATATACCATCGTTCGAAGCTATTTGAATTAAAATGTTTGAGAAAAGAAGGAGAGGGAGAGGAGGGTAAGAACCCAAGAAAGGAACCAGGAAGGCGAGGTAGTGTACCCCCCCCCCCCATACAGTCTCTCATCCATGGTGGAGGGGTATGGGTTGAAGATAGGGGGATAGAAGGATATGGAGGACAAGGGTAGGACCAAAGAGGGGGAAACTGTGAAGTAGACTCTGCCGACAAGAGTTTATCATTTTGGGTAGAGGCTGGGGCATAGTCTAGCTGATGTACATGACTGGTGGGAAGAGCTATTGCGGGTGGAGCTATAGATTCTCTAGGGGAATATATGGAATCTGAAAAATAGAGGCAGAACAAAATACGGGATCACTCAGCAGTAACAGAAAGTAAAATGGAATTTTGATGCCAGTGTTGGTGTCATGGCACATTCCACTGGTGCTTCATGGTGCCGAAATCAGTGTCACCGTATAAAATGGATTATTCCTATAGTGCCTCACTAAAGCTAGCAAGTCTGTCCATAGTGATGCATTGACCTCTGCACTTCTTTCTTTGGTAGTGGTCACCAAACCTCCACCACATATTTTGACAAGATAAAGTTTCTAGAAATCCTTGGCAATTTATAGTCAAGTAATCAATTTGGATCATTGTTTTAAAAAGTCCTGAGTTAAGACGAGGGGGAAAATTAAATGTTTACAAGATATTTTTATCTGCCACTGGTCTATATGTAACACCTACACACTTGCCACTGGCACTGCGGCAAGAGCGAACTAATCTCCACCACTTATATTCTGGCAAGTTAGTAAGTAGACTTCCCTTGTGATTTGATGTCAAACAAGGACATGGTTGAAGCTGTGTCCTGCCAGAGTGTGTTTGTGGTAGAGGTTTGTTTTCATCTACAGAATTGCTGAAAGTGCAGAGGATGCGATGATCGCTAAATGCTCTGACACTGGTGAGAGTTTGACAGAAGACCACAAGAAGTTCAAAATGTACAGTTAAGGGAAAAAAGAG